TGGTAGGCAGAAGCCCTTGCCATCTTTAATGTGCGGCACGTCGCAGCTCTCCACAGTTCCCCCTTCTTTAATTAAAGACAGAATGGGTGAAGATAGAGGCCCGATCCCTGGTGTGCAGACCTGGGATAATGTGCTGGTGACACCCACAGACTCTACGCCTGCGGTGACCCAGACCCATCCCGTACCTATTTTCCCTGGGGAAGGATCTCGGGTACAACTTTCATGCAATCGGGCTTGTCTTCCAAGGGTAGCTTAACTGTTTACAAGCAAACCCTCGTGCAGTGCTTAGCCTTACACCCCAGTCGGAGAGGAATTTTAGTTCTTAATAACGGCCAACCAGGCCTGGGGGGACTGTCCTGCCTCTATGACCGTAAAGGCTTAGGTGATCATGGCTGCATCACGCTTTTGTGTGACTCTAATCTTGCAAATACACCATAGGCAAACCAGGGAGACCAGTACCAAAAGGCCTGTAAGCGCCCCCAAGCCTGCCCATTCCATTAGGTGGTCCTCCAAAGCCACAGAGAAACCCCGCCTCAAACAGAAAAAAAAGTTAAGGTGTCATCAGTAAGGGGGTAGGGGAGCTTGGGTGAGTCAAACAAAGACAAATGAAGAACAGAGTCATTGGTGCTCGGTGCTGCCGAGGGGAAAGATGAACTCAATTGTTTAAGGAACAAAGCTTGTATGGGTTGGAATGCTTTCTGCCATGAATGTCAGTGCTCTGGAAATCTAGTACCAGCCATTTGGGGGCATGCCCAGGAAAGCTGGTGGTCATAGTGACAGTTTATATTGTCAGAAAATACATTTTGATTCTGAGTTTGTAATGTCGTTTTAGTTCTTGTGACCTAAAATATACAGAAGGAGTACAGTCCCTCAACTGGACTAAAATTATGAAGACCATTGTTGATGACCCCGAGGGCTTCTTTGAACAAGGAGGCTGGTCTTTCCTGGAACCTGAGGGTGAGGTGCGTGAGTGTGAGGTTTCTTTTTTATTTTGGTATGCAGTGTTGCCTGGTGTCATTTAGAGAATGACATCTATAAGTAGGACATAAAGGACCTTCAGAGAAAAGCTGAAAGCACAACTAGGTGTTATTGCTTCTTTTGCAGGTAAATGATGAATTTATTACGTACTGGTAGTCACTGCCCACATTTCTTTCCGTTTTTAAATTTTTATTCCTCACAGAGTTTCTTAGTGTTTGGAAGAGATGGGATTGAGGCTTATTACAAAAAGTACTTTTAAAAATAGTCCTCCAGAGGGCTGACGAGGTGGCTCAGCAGTTAAGAGCACTGCCTACTCACCCAGAGGACCCATGTTCAGTTCCTAGCACCCACATGGCAGCCTACAACCATCCAACGCCATTCCAGAGGGTGTGAAGCCCTCTTCAGTCTCCCACAGAACTGCCACACCCGGTTCATAGACACACATGTAGGCAAATACCTGAACACAAAAAAAATGTTTTAAGTTAATCTTTAAAAATAAATAATAGTTACCAGGTGTGATGATACACTCCTATAATTTCTGCACTCAGAAGTAGAGGCAAGCACATCTCTGAGTTCAAGACCAGTCTAGTCTATATAGCAAGTTCCAGGTGAGGACTGCACAATGGGACCTTGTCTCAAAAAAATTTTTTTAATTAAAAACTTGTTTTAGGGGGCTGGAGAGATGGCTCAGTGGTTAAGAGCACTGACTACTCTTCCAAAGGTCCTGAGTTCAATTCCCAGCAACCACATGGTAGCTCACAACCACCTTGAATGAGCTCTGATGCCCTCTGCTGGCATGCAGGCAGAAGATTGAATACATAATAAATAAATAAGATTTTTTTTAAAAAATTTGTTTTAAATAGAGTTCCTGCCTTGCCATAGTGCATTAATACAAACTGTGCTTCTGTCATTAATTCCCACAGACAAAAACAGATGAATTGACTGTTGGAGAATCTGATATATGTATGAATAATTTTAAGACAAGTCCTTTATCTCTTGGTCATTCAACTTTCTTATTTTTTTATATGAAATGATAGTGTACTAAGTACATTGAATTGATTTGTTAATAAAGTGAATATGAGACAATGAGTAAATGGGTCTTCTGCTTTCTGTACTTCACCAGGGAAGTGATGCTGAGGATGGAGACTCTGAATCTGAGATTGAAGATGAGACTTTTAATCCTTCTGAGGATGACTATGAAGAGGAAGAAGAGGACAGTGATGAAGATTATTCATCAGAAGCAGAAGAATCAGGTATTTGTTGGGCTCAGAGTGTCTAACAGCACTTGCTATTACAGACCCTGAGCTCGAATCCCCTGTATGTACGTAAAAAGCCAGCCCGGTTGTCCTGTAATAGCACTGGGGAACGACAGGGTTCGGGGACGTAGGGGGTGAACAGAAACACGAGGACCATGGGGATTTTAGGCCACCAGCTCTGGGCTTACTGAGAGACCCTGTCGGAAGGAAATAAGGTAAACACCTTCCTTGACTGCACATGCACAGGCCAGTGCGCCCACACACATAACAAATTTTAGAGGAGAAAACACCGTGGCTAGAGATTGCTTTTAAAAGGAAGGAGTTTTACATTCTGCTGTGTTTCTGCATGAGTGTGTAATTCGTATTGTTGCAGACTATTCCAAGGAGTCTCTGGGCAGTGAAGAAGAAAGCGGGAAGGACTGGGATGAGCTAGAAGAAGAAGCTCGGAAAGGTTCTTTTGAAATTTGTTGTTTTGGGTCACTTATTTATTCATTTAATTTATGTGCAAATGTAACACTGTTCTTTGTTTTAAGAGCCAACAAGACTTGGAAAAGATTACGAGAAAGTTGTTTAGGAAGGAGATTGGAGAAATAGCTCAGTTGGTAAACTGATTGTCATTTCAGCTTAAGAACAGAGTTTGACTGGGCGGTGTAGGCATACGCCTTTAATCCCAGCATTCGGAAGGCAGAGGTGTGAGTTCAAGGCCAACCCGGTCTACAGAGCGAGTTCCAGGACAGCCTCCAAAAAACTCTCGGGGGGGAAAAAAATACATACATATATATGAAAACAAAATCTAAGCCACAGGTAGAACTTGACCAGAGGAGAGGTAAGATCTATAATGTGCCTATAGGGTCCAAGTGAGCTTGATTCCCTCAAGTTTACAGTGCACAGAAGTGTGGTGCCCATAGTAAGAAAGCTGCAGTTAGGAGTACTGTCTAGTCGGTGTTGGTGTCAGTACTCTAACTAAAGTCAAGCCCCAAGTAGAAGTTGTTAAAAATTAAAATGGATATATTTGCTGCTGTGGCCTAGCATTGTGGTAAGTGCCTTGGACAGGTAGCCTTTTAATTCTCCTTGAAAATAAGCTCAGGCTCCAAAAGATTAAGCATCTGTCTAGGTCACATAACTAGTAACTGACTAAATGAAAATTAACATTCAAGTTGAGGTACTGGCTCATGCTATCTACTAATAGTAGGAATTTTAAGCTAATGAACCACTCTGCCTTCTGCTTAGCGGACCGTGAAAGCCGTTATGAGGAGGAAGAAGAACAGAGTCGAAGTATGAGCCGGAAGAGGAAGGCATCTGTACATAGTTCAGGCCGTGGCTCAAACCGTGGTTCCAGACACAGCTCTGCACCCCCCAAGAAAAAGAGAAAGTAATATGAACCGTGGTCCTCTGCTCTAATCTCTCTGCAGACAACTCCTAAAAATCCGACATGACATAGAAACTGTTTTTCCTTTTGGTTTCGTTGAAGTTTTGCCATTTGTGTTTATGGGTTTAGGGGCCATTTGTGCGGACCAAGCTACTCGGGGAATCCCAGGCCCACCAGGACATGTGCCAGTGGCCCCGTTCAGATGGCTGGCAAGGGAGGGATGTTGAGGGCAGAAGGCCCCTCCCACTCTTGATACCGTCTGTTTTCTTCTGACAAGCGTCTTTGGTATTTCAACGCTGAATTACCAAGACACTGGTAAAAAGCTGACCATTAACTATTTCTACTATGATTCTTTTTTCTTTGCATTTTTATTTTTCATGGCTTTTTGAGACAGTCTCTATAAACCAGGGTGGCCTCAAACTTGTAATCCTCTTGCCCTGACTCCCAAGTGCTGGGATTACAGGCCTGAGCCACCATACTTAGCTGGAGCATGGTTCTGGCCCCACAGGTTCAGCCCTCCTTCCGTCCCTTTAAGTTCCAGATCTTCTCAAGAAGTTCCAGAAGTTCTCAAGAAAGGTTCCTGGTCTCTGCTAATGATTGTGATATACACAGCTGAGCTAAAGGCAGGGTGGGCTGATGGCTGGTTTTAATGTTTCCTGGTTTCTTGCCTTATACATATTTTGAGGCATTTCTGCTGCCTTGGAAGATATAAGCACTGGCACTCCATGGCTGGGTTTCTTCTCCTTTCAAGTCCATACGTGGTACAATACTAGAAGGCAAAATTACCAGTCTCTTCTGACACGTCTGAGGAAGAAAGGTCATGCCTCATACACTGCAGGTAAAACCTAGAGGGAGGCTCAAGGGAACCAACACGCATCTGAAAGAGTAAATCATGTCCTGACAAGAAGAGAGAGAGCGGGAAGGAGGCCACACCCACAAGGCTGGACTCTGCTCCTCCTGCCTTACTTTCTCTCCGGGTCGCCTGTGTTGGTCACCTCTGCCACTTGCTCAGCTCTGAAGTGCGGGGACTTTGTCTTGCCGTCCTCCCTGCAGGCTCTGAATCCACCTGTCCCACCTCACCTCCTCTGCTGTGACTTCAGAGAAGGGGCTTCCCAGACTTTATGTTCGTTTGTTTATCTGTTTTCTCTCCTTAGCAGTAGGACTCTATTTTGAATTTTGGAAGAACTAAAAGATAAATAAACTGGGATTTTGTTTTGTTTTTTGTAAATTTGTCTTTTATGACCATTTCTTTACAGTTCCTGAAATCAAGTCTTGCCTACTGAAGTGTTAGCGTGTTAGAACAAAAGGCCTCTATCCGCCTAGTAGCACTAAAATTCCCTGGTGTTTGTAACCTCACCATTAGTTTGAGAAAGAGAGCAGATAGCACAGGAGACCGGTTTTATGGCATGGCATGGCATGTTACTTTATAAGAGACTCTCACTGTGGTTCCCTCAAATCTTAGAGTGGAGTAGTTCTTTCATGAAAACAAATCTTCAGTCATCTCCTTGTAAATGCTATGGAGGGCAGCAGCTGCTCGAAGGGAAACCTTCAGCCTTCCAATTTGGATGGCCTGGTCTCCGGGGCTGACAACTGTGGAGAAGGATAACCTGTTAGGCAGCAGCAGTGTTCCATTTACACACTTTCGTTTTGTTTATTTGAGACAGGGTCTCACCCTAGCCCTGGCTGGCCCATAACTCATTGTATAGACCAGGCTGCTTCAAACTGAGAGTCTGCCTTTGCCTCCTGAGTTCTGGCATTAAAGGCCTATACCATCCATGACACCCATCCAATTATACACTTTTAATGCCTGGTATTTGTCATGTTGGAGTTACTGCCGCATTCATAAGAAAGTGAAACCATGATAGTGTGGTTTACACATATGAGGAAAAGATTAAGGTGCTTTGACACACAGAGACTAGAAGAGAGAAGAAAGGGGTTTTAGGGCTGGCCAGATGGCTCAATGGGCAGAGATGCTTGCTGACAAACCTGACAAGCTGAGTTAAACCCCAGAACCTATGTAGTGGAAGGCAGAAAACTGATATTCACACATGTGTACACATAGATAATAAATGTAAAAAAAAAAGTAGACACTTTTTTCTTCACATCTGGGGATTGAGTCTAGACAAGCATAGACATGTTCCAGAATGAAATACATACAGCTCTCAGGGAAAGACTTAAAAGCATTTGTCCATCAACCTCAACAGGTTAGCAAAAGCTACACATAAGTAGATTATTTTCTCTGTGAATAAATGGAACTAAATAGGAAATTTTATTACTCACTCTCTAGTTCTTGCTCTAGGATATCTCTTCCAGATTGAAGTATCTGCCACAGATCAAGGTACGCATAGCCTACATCTTGACATTCTTTTTCTTCATCCAGGGGATCACTTACCACTGTAAACTTTAAACTGAAAACAAAGAAAAAAGGAATCCACTTAAAATTATGAACATGTGCTGGGCCATGGTGGCACACGCCTTTAATCCCAGCACTTGGGAGGCCAGCCTGGTCTACAAAGTGAGTTCCAGAACAGCCGGGGCAAACAGAAACTGCTTTCTGTGTAGTAATCATGGAGTTTGGAGAGGTGGCTGAGGGAATAAGAGAGCATTGGTTACTCTTCCAGGAAGAGTACTCTTTCTCAGCATCACCTGGAGGCTCACAATCATCTATGACTCCAGTCCCAGAGGATCTGACAGCCTCCGTGGGCACTTCACATGGTACACAGACATGGAGGCTAAACATTCATATACATAAAAGTGAAAAAGTAATCTTAAATAGTATTGTCCCTGAATCTGAATCCCATCCCCTGCCTACCTCCATTTTCTAAGGAGCCAAAAGTCAGGAATCAGTTTTGGGAAGGGTTCAGCATCCGAAGAAGTCAGGACAACTTTTAGGAGTTGGTTCTCTGCTTCCCCGTGTGTATCCTGGGGATTGAACTCAAGTCGTCAGATTTGGAAGCAAGCACTTACCCATTAATCCGCCTCAGCCGTGAGAAGATCCCATGGAGCCCAGGCTGGCCTGCCTGCAACTCACTACATAGCTGTCTAAGACTGGCTTCCCATCTTCACCTCCCAAGTACTATGATTGGAAGTGTGTGCCACCCTGCTGGCTCGCTCTTTAATCTTCGAAAAGCAAATGTTACCAATTGTGGTGAGACAGCAGTGTGAAGAGTACACGGACTTCAGTCCCCAGGTCTACAGAAAGCCTGGTAACTGGCATTATTATGGACTAGAGACCAGCTCAGGTGCTGTGGATAATCTGTCACTCTTAAACGAGCATTCAGGCAACGCTGCAAAGACTGCAGATCAAAAGCAGGAGTTGGGATCCCAAACCAGCTTTGACAAACAGGGTGCTGTCTGCTGTGCCATACTGGTAAAAACGCCAAAGGAAAAGTCAACTGAAACCTAACCTGAAGAAGAGGATTGTCTCTGGGAGAGAATAATGGAAAGGATTGTATTTTAGGAGCCAAAGGAAGAAGTCAACATGCAGGCAGAATGCCTACACACATAAGTAAAAGTTTTATAGAATTCTGTGTTTAGCTGTGCATGGGCTTTAGAAACCCTGGAATGGAGTTAGAGATGGTTGTGAACTGTTGTGTGAATCCTAGGAGTCAAACCTGGGTCCTCTGAAAGGACACAGTGCTCTTAACTGCTGAACCATCTCTCCAGCCCCATACATACAATTTTAAACTATAACTGTCCTTTGCCTTAACACAAGTTTCTCAGTTTCAGGTCCCATTTATTAATGGTCCATCTCAGTGTCTGCTACTGGCGTGTTATGTTCAGGAAATGGTCTCCTGTGCCAATTCATTCAAGGGTACTTCCCACTTTCTCCTTTTTTTGTTTTTTGTTTGTTTGTTTTTTGAGACAGGGTTTCTCTGTATTGTTTTGGAGGCTGTCCTGGAACTTGCTCCGTAGACCAGCCCGGCCTCGAACTCACAGAGATCTGCCTGCCTCTGCCTCCCGAGGGCTGGGATCAAAGGCGTGCGCCACCAACGCCCGGCCCTTTCTTTTTTTTTAAGATTTATTTATTATGTATACAATGTTCTGTTTTCATGTATCCCTGCAGGCTAGAAGAGGGCACCAAATCTCATTATAGATGGCTGTTAGCCATCATGTGGTTGCTGGGAATTGAACTCAGGACCTCTGGAAGATCAGCCAGTGCCCTTAACCTCTGAGCCATCTCTCCAGCCCCACCACCACAACCACCACCACTTTCTCTTCTCTTTTTTTTTTTTTTTTTTTTTTTTTTTTTGGTTTTTCGAGACAGGGTTTCTCTGTGGCTTTGGAGGCTGTCCTGGAACTCACTTGGTAGTCCAGGCTGGTCTCGAACTCACATAGATCCGCCTGCCTCTGCCTCCCGAGTGCTGGGATTAAAGGCGTGTGCCACCAACGCCCGGCCACCACCTTCTCTTCTAAGAAGTTCAGTGTGACTGGATTTATGTTGAGGTCTTTGATCCAGCTGGACTTAAGTTTTGTGCATGGCAATGCACATATGGATCTATGTGCAGTGTTCTTCGTGTCAGCATCCAGTTATGCCGGCACCATTTGTTGAAGATGCTTTCTTTTTTCCATTGTATATTTTGGCTTCTTTGTCAGCAGTTATGTATTCATAGGTGTGTGGGTCCACATCAGGGTTTTCAGTTCGGTTCCATTGGTCCACCTGTCTATTTTTGTGCCAATACCAGGTTGGTTTCATTACAATAGCTCTAAAGTAGAGCTTGAAGTCAGGGATCACCAGTTCCTTTATTGTACAGGGTTGTTTTGGCTATCCTGGGTTTTTTGTTTGGGTTTTTTTTCCATATAAAGTTGAGAATTGTTGTTTCAAGGTATGTGAAGAATTGTGCTGGTATTTTGATGGGAATTGCATTGACTCTGTAGATTGCTTTTGGTAGGATTGTCATTTTTACTACATTGATCCTACCTATCCTGAGAAGCTTCTGTAAAGGCAAAGGACACAGTCAACAAGACACAATGGGAAAAGATCTTCACCAACCCACATCTGACAGAGGGTTGACTCCAAAATATACAGAGAACTCAAGAGGCTAGTCACCAAAACAAAATAATCCAATTAAAAAATGAGGTACAGCCGGGCGGTGGTGTCGCATGCTTTTAATCCCAGCACTCGGGAGGCAGAGGCAGGCCGATCTCTGAGTTTGAGGCTGGGCTGGACCAACAGCCTCCAAAACAACACAGAGAAACCTTGTCTCGTAAAAACCAAAAAAAAAAAAAAAAAATGAGGTACAGATCTAAATAGAGAATTCTCAATAGAGGAATCTCAAATGACTAAAAGACACTTAAGAAAGTGTTCTAGCCATCAGGGAAATGTAAATCAAAACAACTCTGAGATACCATCTTGCACCTGTCAAAAGGGCTAAAATCAAAAACACCAACAGTTTATGCTGGAGAGGATGTGGAGAAAGGGGAACACTCATCCATTGCTGGTGGGAGTGCAAACTCATACAGCCACTTTGGAAATCAGTATGATGGTTTCTCAGGAAATGGGAATCAGTCTACCACAAGTTCCAACAATTCCACTCTTAGGCATATACCCAAAAGATGCACATTCCTACAACAAGGACATCTGTTCTGCTATGTTCATAGCAGCATTATTTGTAATAGCCAGAATCTGGAAGCAACCTAGATGCCCCTCAACTGAAGAATGGATGAAGAAACTGTACATTTACACAATGGAGTACTACTCAGCTGGGGGGGCGTGAAATCTTGATATTTGAAGGCAAATGGATAGAGCTAGAAGAAACCATCCTGAGTGAGGTAACCCAGACACAGAAAGAAAAACATGGTATGTGCTCACTCATAAGTGGATATTAGACATAGAGCAAAGGACAAGCCTACAATCCACACTGCCAGAGAAGCTAGGAAACAGGGAGGATCCTAAGACAGACATACACATGGACACCCCAAGAAGGAGAAAGGGACAAGATCTGAGTAAATTGGGAGCGAGGGGAGAGGGAGTTAGGAGACATGAGGGAATCAGGAAAGTTGAGTTGGGGGAAGAACAGAGAAGGAGAACAAGGAAAGAGATACCTTAATAGAGGGAGCCATTATGGGCTTAACAAGAAACCTGGCACTAGGGAAATGTCCAGGGATCCACAAGGATGATCCCAACTAAGAATCTAAGCCATAGTGGAGAGTCTACATTAAGTTAAATGCCCTTCTATGATGAGAATGATGACTACCTTAAATGTCATCCAGTAGCAAATGAAAGATAAGCACTGAGCCGAACTCCTGGAATCTGGTTGCAGAGAGAGAGGAGTGATGAGCAAAGGTCTCAAGACCATGCTGGAGAAACCCACAGAAACAGCTGACCTGAGCAAGTGGGAGCTCCCAGACCCCAGACTGACAGCTGGGGAACCAGCATAAGACAACCAGGTCCCCTGGATGTGGGTGTCAGTTGGGAGGCCTGGACAGTCTATGGGGCCTCTGGCAGTGGAACCAGTATTTATCCCTAGTGCACAAATGGGCTTTGGGAGCCCATTCCCTATGGAGGGATACTCTCTCAGCTTAGATACACAGGGGAGTACCTAGCTCCTGCCTCAAATGATGTGACAGACTTTGATGATTCTCCCATGAGAGGCCTCACCCTCCCCGAGGAGTGGATGGGGGTTTGGTGGAGGACATGGGAGAGAAAGAGAACTGGGATTGGTATGTAAAATAAGATTGTTTTTAATTTAAATAAAAATTTAAAAAATACAAGTATAAGCCTGGCAGTGGTGATTCATGCCTTAATCCTAGCACTCAGGAGTAAGAGGCAGGCTGGTCTCTGTGAGCTCAAGGGTAGCCTGGTCTACAAAGTGAGTTACAGGACAGCTAGGCCAGTTACACAGAGAAACCCTGTCTTGAAAATATACATATATACATATATATTCGAATATATGTATATTAGAAAATATACATGTATGATATATATATTAGAATGGCACTGAATTGGTGTGCCAGCAGTATTTCTGTATATGTGGGAAGTTAGTTAAATGACTTAAGAATATCCAAATGTTCTGTCTGCCCCACGTAGGACACTATCCAAACACTGTCACGTTTCATATCATGGTTGTCACCCACATATAAGTCCCTGCCATGCTGATCGGTGGTGGCATACACCTTTAATCCCAGCCCTTGGGAGGCAGAGGCAGGAGGATCTCTGTGAGTTCCAGGCCAGCCTGCTCTACAGAGCGAGTTCCAGGACAGCCTCCAAAACAATACAGAGAAACCCTGTCTTGAAAAACAAACAAACAAAAAAGTCCCTGCCACAAGTGAAATATGAACTAAACCTAAAATAACTGAATGGGCACTCAGACACATGAAACTGACTCCAGTAGATGGGTGATTCAAGAGAAGATTAGTTATTAAAATATTAGCATAAACACAAAACTCAATTTCTCATCACTTTCTCACTCCTATGTGTCAGAGTACCCTTGCTGCCACTGAGATGACTTACCGTCCCTCGTCAGGATCTTGAGCATGCAGCATGGCAAACAGAAACTGCCTTCTGCCTTGGTGCTCCGCTGGGTCCAGGTCTATCACTGTTTGAAAGGCAAAAGAGAAGCAGAGAATCCGGGGATGAGGCTGAAGCTCCTTGGTACAGCGTTTGCCTCTATACGAGAATCCTAGATTCAATCCTCAGGGTTGACAGGAGGGGCGGGTGGAGTGGGGAGAGGCTACTGTTGCTGTTGCCTGTAGGACTCAGGACTGATCCATCCTTCAGTGATGAAGGCGTGCCTCCCACACAGGCGGCAGAGGCAGGTGGATCTCCTGAGTTCAAGGCCCTCCTGGTGTACAAAACAAGTTCAGAATAACCAGGGCTGTCTCCAAAAACCAAAAGAGAAAACAGCTAAAATTGGAGTGGCAGAGATGGCTCAAAGGTGAAAGGCACTGAGGTTCCAGGTTCAATTCCCAGCACCCACTTAGTGGCTAGCTAGTGTCTGTAACTATTTCTGAGGGATCCAGCACCTCTTCTGACATGTATGCGATGAACAGGCATACATGTGGGAACAGACACACATGTGGAAGAATACCCAGACGTGAAATGAAAGTAAATCTCAACTGCTGGGCGGTGGTGGCGCATGCCTTTAATCCCAGCACTCAGGAGGCAGAGGCAGGCGGATCCCTGTAGATCCCAGCCTGGTCTACAAAGCAAGTTCGAGGACAGGCTCCAAAGCTACAGAGAAACCGTGTCTGGAAAAAACAGATAAGTAGATGGATAAATAAAGCCTAAGTAAAATTTAAAAAGAAAATAACTAAAAATCCTGTGTGTGCATACTAGCTGTGGCTGTCTGCCGTGTGTGTGTGTGTGTGTGTGTGTGTGTGTGTGTGTGTGTGTGTGTGTGTAGATACCAAATATATTGGGCTACATAGCAATCAAATAGGAGATTAGAAAAATATTTAATAGCTAACTTTCTCCAAAAATATTTATTTACTTCCAATATCCTTTTCTGTGAAAGCTACTGAGAAACACCTATTAAAATAAGAAGCCAAGCCAGGCATGATAATGTACGCCTTTAATCCCAGCACTCTAGAGGCAGAGGCAGACAGGAAATATCAAAGGAAGGAAAACTAAAGCAAGTGAATGTATTTAGAACCGCAAGGGTTAAAACGTATCCTATAAGCCGGGCGTTGGTGGCATACGCCTTTAATCCCAGCACTCTGGAGGCAGAGGCAGGCGGATCTCTGTGAGTTCGAGGCCAGCCTGGTCTACAGAGCGAGTTCCAGGACAGCCTCCAAAGCCACAGAGAAACCCTGTCTCAAAAAACCAAAAAAAAAAAAAAAACCGTATCCTATAATAACAGAAATAATAAAAATTGAAATAAAAACCATGACAATTGTGTGGGAGTAAAGGACACAGATTCAGAGTAGGATAGCTTAAGTTCTTAGCTGAGACAGGA